TCTACTTGACAATCTACTTACCATTAAAAGCAGCTGGGGGGACATCTCTACAGCCACTGTTTGACTGACCTGAAAGCCTGGCTGGCTCAGAACTTTTTTAAATTAAATGAGGATAAGACTGAGTGTGTTTTATTTGGTGATCTGGCGAAATTTGCTGCTTTTAATCACAACTTAGGCCCCCTGGCTCATCATTTGAAGACGACTAAAAAACCTAGGGGTAACGTTTGACTGTGACCTAAGATTCGACAAGAGGATCAACTCAGTCGTAAAATCTAGTTTCTTTCACCTGAGGTTGCTAAGTAAAGTCAAGTCATTTCTTTCTTTTAGTGATTTTGAGATTGCAATTCATTCTTTTATAACTTCTAGACTTGACTATTGTAATGCATTATACCTTGGTGTTAATCAGATGTCTCTCTCTCGTCTTCAAATGGTCCAAAATGCTGCTGCTCGTCTTTTAACAGGTACTAGGAAATTCGACCATATAACTCCGGTACTGGCCTCTCTTCACTGGCTTCCAGTTCGTTTTAGAATTCATTTTAAGCTATTGATTTTTGTTTTTAAGGCTCTTAATGGTTTGGCCACCTTACCTCGCTGAGTTGGTGAGGTGGCACCCGGATAAATAGAGAGGGTTGCGTCAGGAAGGGCATCCGGCGTAAAAACATGACAAATTTAAACATGCGACTCATCAGTGCAATTTCCATACCGGAACGGTCGAGGCCTGGGTTAACAACGACCGCCACCAGTGCTGTTGACCTACAGGGTGCTGGCAGAAATTGGACTAGTGTTGGTCAAAGAAGGAGAGGAGGTAGAAGGATTCGTAGACAGAGAGAGAAGAGGAAAGGCAGGAGTATAGGTCTGAGAATAGGGACTCTTAACGTTGGCACAATGACAGGGAAAGGTAGAGAGCTGGCGGCCATGATGGAGAGAAGGAAGGTAGATATACTACTGTGCGGGAGACCAGGTGGAAGGGTCGCAAAGCGCGTAACTCTTTTATTATAGTGTGGACAGGAAGAGAAATGGGGTAGGAGTGATCCTAAAGGAGGAGCTTGTGAGGAATGTTTTAGAGATGAAAAGAGTGTCAGACAGGGTGATCAGTTTGAAGTTGGAAATTGAAGGGGTAATGTTGAATGTAGTCAGTGGTTATGCTCCACAAGTAGGGTGTGATTTAGAAGAGAAGGAGAGATTCTGGAGTGAGTTAAATGAGGTGATGGAGAGTATTCCCAGAGATGACTCTGGTGGTCAGGAAGAAGAGGAGGAAAGACAGAAAAGAAAAGCAAGTGGTGGAAGTTGCAAAAGGAAGAATGTTGTGAGGAATTCAGACAGAAGTTGAGACAGGCTTTGGGTGGTCAGGAAGAACTTTCAGATGACTGGGAAACTACAGCAGAAGTGATCAGGGAGACAGGTAGGAAGATGCTAGGTGTGTCATCTGGAAGGAGGAAAGAAGATAAGGAAACATGGTGGCAGAACGAGGAAGTACAGGACAGCATTCAGAGCTAAAAAGCTAGCTAAAATCGACTTGAGTAAGCTAGCTAAAAAGAAGTGGGACGTAGAAAGGACTGAAGACAGTAGACAGGACTACAAGAAATTGCAGCGTAGAGTGAAGAGGGAGGTGGCAATGGCCAAACAAAGCATATGATGAGTTGTATGCCAGGTTAGACACGAGGGAAGGCGAGAAGGACTTGTACAAATTAGTGAGACAGAGATATAGAGATGGGAAGGATGTGCAACAGATAAGGGCGATTAAAGACAGATATGGAAAGGAGCTAACAAGTGAGGAGAGTGTGCAGAGAAGATGGAAGGAGTATTCTGAGGAACTGGTGAAGGAGGAAAATGAGAGGGAAAGAAGGGGGGAAGAGGTGAATATTGTAGAGCAGGAAGTAGCAAAAATTAGAAAGGATGAAGTGAGGAAGGCTCTGAGGAGAATGAAGAGTGGAAAGGCTGTTGGTCCAGATGACATACCTGTAGAGGTGTGGAAGTGTCTAGGAGAGACAGCAGTGGGGTTTCTAACTAATTTGTTCAACAGGATTTTAGAGAGTGAGAAGATGCTTGAGGAATGGAGGAGAAGTGTACTAGTGCCGATCTTTAAGAACAAGGGTGATGTGCAGAGTTGTAGCAACTACAGAGGTATAAAGTTGATGAGCCACACAATGAAGCTATGGGAAAGAGGAGTGGAAGCTAGGCTAAGAAAGGAAGTGGATATCT